CCTTGATGGTTTGTATTGTCTGTTTCTTTTGAACTGTTTATTGGGGTATAATTAAAATAAATAGCATATATTTATGAAGTGTTTCATGAGTTTTGACATACTAGTCATATGTATATACTAGTGACACCACAACAATTAATATAATGAACATGTTTATTACCCTTAAAAGTTTCTTCATTCACATTTGTAATCTATCTTTCTCACTTTTTCCTTCTCTTGAAGTCCCAGGCAATAACTGATCTGCTTTCTTTCTTCCATATCCTTACTGATTTTTAGTCTACTTTCTCTATCAATTATTGAGAGAAGAGTACTGATTTCTTACTTTGTGAAATTGTCTATTCACCATTAGAATTCTATTAGTTTTTGCTTCATATAACTCTCCTATTAGGCACACACATGTTTAGGATTATTACATTGTTTTGTGAATTGATCCTTTTACCATTACATAATTGACCCTCTTTATACTTGCTAAAATTTTTATTATTTTCTTTCTTTTATTGATATATTTTACATATTTATGGGGTACATGGGAGCATTTGTTATATGTATAAAATGTATAATGACCAAGTCAGACGAGTTAGAGGAGTATTCATCACCTTGAGTATTTATTATTTCTTTCTTTCTCTTTTTTTTTTTTTTTTTAATGAGATCTCACTCTGTCACCCAGGCTGGAGTACAGTACCATGCTCATAGCTCACTGCAGCCTCAAACTCCTGGGCTCAAGAAATCTTCCCACCTCAGCCTCCAAAGTAGCTGAGACTACAGATGTGCACTACCACGCCCAGCTAATTTTTTTCATTATTTTAGAGATGGAATTCAGCTATGTTGGCTAGGCAAGTCCTAAACCCCTGGCTTCAAGGGATGTCCCACCTCAGCCTCCCAAAGCCCTGGGATTACAGGTGTGAGCCACCACACCCAGCTCCAGCACCATTTATTGAAGGAGTCCCTTCCCCAGTGTATTTTCTTGGGGCCTTTGTCAAAAACCAGTTGGCTATAAATATGAGGCCTTATTTTTTGATTCTCTATTCTGTTCCATTGGTCTATGTGCCTATTTTTATACCAATACCAGACAGTTTTGGTCACTGTAGCCTTTAAAATATTTTGAAGTCAGACAGTGTGATGCCTCCATCTTTGTTCTTTGGCTTTTCTGGCTCTTTTATAGTTCCATACAAATTTTAGGATTATTTTTCCTGTTTCTGTGAAAAATGATTTTTTTTTTTTTTTGAGACAAGGTCTCATCCTGTTGCCCAGGTTGGAGTTTACTGTTGAGATCACCACTTAGTGCAACCTTCAACTCCTGGGCTCAAGCAATCTTCCTGCCTCAGCCTCCCAAGTAGCGAAGACTACAGCCACATGCCACTATGCCCAACTAGTTAGTGTGTGTGTGTGTGTGTGTGTGTTTGTTTTTTTGTTTGCTTTTGTAGAGATGGGGTTTCATTATGTTACCCAGGATGGTCTCAAACTTCTGGCCTCAAGCAATCCTCCCACCTCGGCCTCCCAAAGCATTAGGATTACAGGTGTGAGCCACCGTACCCATGACATTGGTATTATGATAGGGATTGTGTTGAATCTGTAGATTGTTTGGGGCAGAATGATTATTTTAATGACATTAATTCTTCCAATCCATGAACATGGAATATCTTTCCGATTTTAAGGGTCTCTTCAATTTCTTTCATCAGTGTGTTATCGTTTTCTTGATAGACATCTTTCGCTTCTTTGGTTAAATTTGATTCCTAGGTGTTTTATATTCTTTGTACCTATTTCCAATGGGATTACTTTCTTGATTTCTTTTTCATATTGCTCACTGTTTGGTGCACATAAATGCTACTGTTTTTGCAACTTTATTGAATTCATTTAGCAGTTCTAATAGTTTTTTGGTGGAGTCTTTTGGGTTTTTTTTAAGTATAAGATCGTGTTGTCTGTGAACAATGCTAATTTGACTTCTTCCTTTTCAATCTGGATGTCTTTTATTAATATTTCTTTCTGTTTCCTAGTTGCTCTGGCCAGGACTTTCAGTATTATGTTGGAATAAAAGTGGAGAAATGTGGGCATCCTTGTCTTACTCCAGATCTTAGAGGACAGCCTTTCAGTTTTTCCCCATTCAGTATGATGTTAGCTGTGGGGTCTGTCATATACTGTATTTGTTATTTTGAGGTAAGTTCCTTCTATTCCTGGTTGGTTGAAAATTTTTATTACGAAGGGATGTTTAATTTTATCAAATGCTTTTTCTGCATCTATTGAGATGATCATAGGTGTTTTTGTCTTTCATTCTGTTTATGTGATGTATCACATGATTGATTTGCTTATATTGAACCATATTTGCATCCCAAGGATAAATCCCACTTGGTCATGGTGTATGATCCTTTTAATGTGCTCTTGAATTTGGTGTGCTAGTATTTTATTGAGGATTTTTGCAACTATACTCATCAGAGATATCGGCTTGTAGTTTTCTTTTCTTCTTGTGTCTTTTGTTTGGCTTTGGTTAGGGTTATGCTGGTCTCATAATCAGTTTGTCACTGATCCTTCTTTTTTTCTTTGGAAGAGTTCAAGAAGGATTGGTATCAATTCTTCTTTGAATGTTTGTTAGAATTCACCTATGAAGCCATCTGGTTCTAGGCTTTTCTTTTTTGGGGAGGCATTTGATTACTGATTCAAACTTCTTACTAGATATTGGTCAATCAATACTTCTTAAATGAATATATGAGAAGTCTATTAGAAAATGAAGCTACATACAAGGAAGAATAATATAATTTCTTATCATTTCTACATTCAGAGAGTTAACATTTTGGTATACTCCTTTCCAGTTGCTTTCTATGTATTTTCCACATGGACAAAATACAAAAGATAGAGGAACACATTAAACAACACCTTAGGGATGTGATCGGTAAAATCTAGGGTGTGGGAAATTCTATAATACCAATGATCTATATTCTTCTAAAAATAAACAGTGTCTAGTTTAGTTTCCTAAAAAGCAGAAAATTGGTGTGAGAGGACTGAGAAAAGTGAAACAGGTCAGTAGGAGGGAAAGCCAAGTCAAGGGTGTGTTATTAAGTTGACTTCCACTGTAGACAACCAGGGCTTGATTCCTCTTGGGCCATCTGAAAAACCATGTAGCTTGTATGTCAGAACTGACCATCCAAGACAGTGGAGAAAAGAGTATTTATCCACCAATTCCCAGCAAAGAGTATTAAATCCTTTGTACCTCCAAATGTGTGCATGTGCCAATATTGGTTGAATATACTCCTACGTCTGTCCCTTGCTTTAGCAGTAGAGATGCCCTAAAGCAGAAAGCAAAAGATACACAGTGTAGCTGAGGTTTCATCCTGTCAGGCTATACCTCTGTACCAGAGCAACCACCTTAGCACAAGGTGGGCTGAGAAACACGTGATAAGGCATAAAATGTGTCTTGCATAAACGGCAAGGAAAAAACATAAAAGAGATAGAAAAAAGTCTCTTACATAAAGACTTAAGAGACATATCAATCAAATGCAATGTGGAGGTTGATTTAAACAAACCAACCATAAAAAATATTTTTTAGATAGAGAAATTTGGGCATTACCTAGATATTTGCTATTAAGAAATGACTGCTATTTTTATTTTCATTCATTCATTCATTCATTGAGAGACAAGGTCTCACTTTGTTGCCCAGGCTGTATTGAAGTGGTGTGATCATGGCTCACTTGCAGCCCCAAGCTCCTAGGATCAAGTTATCCTCCCACCTCAGCTTCCCAAGTAGCTGGGACTACAGGCGCACCTGGCTATTTTTTTTCATTTTGTTAGAGAGAAGGTCTCACTACATTAACCAGGCTGGTCTCAAACTCCTGGCCTCATGTAATCCTCTCACTTCAGCCTTTAGAATAGCTAGGATTACAGGTATGAGCCACCAGGCCCTGATGGCTATTTTTTTTTAATATGCTATTTTAAAATTATTATTGTTGTTTTTTAAGTTTTAAGTTCTCATATTTTAGAGACACATATAGAAGTATTTACAAATTATATGATATGATGTCTTGAATTGGCTTTAAAACAATTTGAAGTGAGGAGAGGAAGTAAGAGAGGTTATAGAAGAAATAAGACTGGTCATGCGTTACAATTGTTGAGGCTAAGTTATCAGTACATATGGGTTGACTAAATTATTTTTTCTATTTGAAAATTTCCACAACCCCAAAATTTAAATATTCAGCAAATTTCATACATTTTGGAGGCGTAATGGCTCAACCCAGAGTTTTTATTTGTCCTAGAGATATATGAATGTTAATGTGGGCAAAATATTATAAACTCTCTGCTCAGAAAATGTTCTTATCCAGCTCCATTCTGCATACCCCATTTTATGTTATTTCACATATTACATCTTTATATGTTATGTGCACATTGTCATATATTTATAATTATTGTTTTATAAATATCTTTAATCTAGGAAACAAAAAGAGGAGTTACAAACAAAAAGTAAAACAATATTGGCTTTTATATTTACCTATGAAGTTACCTTTACTGGTGTTTAATATTTTTTATTTCTTTGTATGCCTTTGAGTTACTGTCTAGTATTCTTTGCTTGTTTTTTATTCAAACTTATACATAGTCTCTAGAAAGCATTTCTTAAACTTCCACATTGAGCTAAGTGCCTCTTCTTTATATTACCAAAGGACTTCTACATAATATTCTTTTACAGATCACCACATTCCTGAAATTACCTGTTACTGTCTTTATCTCCCTTAGTAAGCTGCATGTATAATTGCCTTCAGGAACATTCTCATTACAAGCAGTGAATCTCAGCCAGAAGGACACAGTCTCCTCAGCCCCTTACCCTGGTTAAGGATTGTCACATTAAACTGTAGGCTTCTCTACTATATTCCTAAAGCCTAGCACAATGCCTGACATTCAGTAGTTCAATGAATATAATTATCACATGGACCTGTAAGATTAGGTAATACATAGAAAGAAACAAAGTAGTCAATAACAAAATAAATACCACAATCTTATTTTTCACTTTAGCAACTCACGTTCTGGTTGTTTTTCATTGGGTGTTATGGATCGCACAAAATCCTGTGGAGTCATAAACACTTCTGCTTCGCCAGGCTCATTGATTATTTTCAAGGTGGCAAAATATCGGAAGATTTTGTCTGGTGTGGAGTAGGCTCGAATCCTGTTCTCATATTCCATCACCTAAAGTGTGAAATTTAGAAAGTGTTACTATATTATGCAATGCTCCTATACTAATATAGTCCCATCACCAATGCTCATCAGTTCCCATATATTTCTCATCTTATTTGCAGGGAAATTTTATTTTATCTTTTTTCTATAATTTTATTTTTAAATATTACAAATAAACTTGAATTTCAAAAATTTTTAAATCTCTTTCTTGCAAAATACCATTCATACTCCAGTTGAGGCAATGTTTATATAACTTCTGTTTAGAACTTTTTTGGGAAAAATTTTCTAATTTTTTAAATCATTGAAGGCTTAGCAAAATTGAAAAATGGCATAAGAGATTTCAAAAGATCTCAGTAAGAGTACAATGCACATATATAGTACCCTATAGGTTCTTAAATACCAAGTTTTGAAAAAGGAATGATTTTACAGCTCTTACTTCTATGCAATTTCCTGATTCCTACACAAAATAAACTTGAGACTTCATAGGTTTCAAAAGCTAGCAGGCTTTCAAAGACAGTACATTAAATTACAGCATAGAAAAATAAAATTACATATCATGGGAACTCAATTATTAACAGGTCTGAAGCAACGGACTTTTACTTTTGACTATAAAATTGAGCAAACTGTCAGATATCCTTTATAGATAGCAAATTAAGAAGGGAGAAGAGCTGGGAGGCACACAAGCAAATGTTTGAATGGCACAAAATTATGTATGGCATACATTTAACTAAAAGTTTGTCATGTTAACACGAAAGCTCATTCCCTTATCTGGCAAACAAGCCCTCATTCCATACATGAAACATACAAAATACTGTATCAATCACATAATATTTTGGTGAAAAAATTTCTCTCATGTCTGAATTTTATATGTTGAGTTAGCCAACAATAAATAGTATCTTACAAGTAATTGAATAGAAAATGTGTCAAGGCAATGAAACCTAAAAACTCATCAGTTCAATGTCTATAAAGCACTTCACTAATATTAAGAAACACATTAATATTTTAAATTTGAAACATTAACACAGCAATTATTCTGTCAGTCCTGGCTAGATATCACTTCGAGGTCATTGGCAGCGGCTGTTTAACATTGGTCTTAATTCCACTACCACATGTGCTTTTAGCAACTGAGAAAAGACTTCTAATTTCTAACTACACATGACAGGAATCTTTTCAATGCGAACTTGCATTAAAATCTAAGTAGATTTCAGAGGAGAGTTTATCAAAAGATTGAGCATGTGGCAAACACACTAAGGAGCTTTTCAACCCCTTTCAGCTTCCAACCTAGCTACAAGTTTTAAATCAAAGGCATTTTTATTACACTACAACAAACAGGCCACTGGGAAATAATGGCGACAGAAAAAATATCCTTCTTTAGGCCATCTGTATTCTTGTTCTTCCTCTGAACAACAACAAAAAAGAAAAAAAAAATTTTGGAATGAAGCTGTAATTACCACCAAAGAGGACTTTGTGAGCTAAAAAGTTAAGACAATCGTATACAAGGTAAAGATAGAAAGATAAGAACTTAAAAGTCAAAAATTTTAAGACTGAAACTCAGATTCTTTGATTGTCTGTACCTCAATGGTTGTCTTCCATGTAAAAAATTCCCTCTCTTTTTGCTCTGGGTCAATTTTTGACCATCCATATTAATGACCATCTGTCACAGAATGGCCTCTTAAAGCTGTATGCAATTCCAAGTTCTATGATACTAATCTCTTTGGGTAAAAAGTAAATTAATTTTTGGCAGTAAAATTTATAATAAACAATAAAAGTTCTCATATTAGAATTCTAAATTTCACTCAAAATAAGTCCCAACATTATTAAAGAGTGTATTTTTTCATTCAGAGTGTCTTATTGATAGAAAAGCATATCTATGAAAATTTCTTCTCCTACATATTTTGCCTCTGTTGAAAAGTCTCTGTAGCCTTGATTTTTGGCCTTTTTTTTAAAACAAACATAACAAGTTAGGGTAGGTCAAAAGGCCATTATAAATACACATCAAAATAAAATGGCTCAAATAAAATGAAAATGTATTTCTCATTAAAATACAATCTACAGTGCATATTACCAGTTGGCAGGAAGCCATGAATCCCTTCAGGTACTCAAGGCAGCCAACATGTGGCTTCCAAGTTCTAGTTTCACCATTCTTTCTCAAGAAAGGGAGAAAGAGCGTTGAAAAACCCTGTGGGAGGTTTTATGAGCCAGGCCAAGAAGTGGCTCAAATTACTCCCATTCAGTGGACAACTAGCAATCTCCACTACAATGGATAAAGGGAACAATAAGGGCTTAAGATCACATTTAGAAATCCTAAGATCACTGAAATGGCATGACATTAATTGACCTAGCGTACACTGTAAGCAAAGTCTTGTAACCAAATGATGTTATGTAGAAGAATACAGTAGAAGGGTCAAGTGTTTTGGAGTTAGATTCATATTTTACTTCTGCCTCTATGAGTAATGAGCTATATAATTTTAGACAAGCTGCTTAATTGCTTATATATAAGTGTGTATACACACACACATATATACATACATATATATGCATGCATATAAGTATACTATGCCTGGCACACAGAAAATGCTCAATAGTTTCCTTCACTTTTTCTATTCATTCTGTTATTTGTTGGTTTCCTTCCCCTTTTCTATTCATTCTGTCATCTGTATAATAAGTAAACTGAGTCGGGTGTCCAGTCACCTGACTACTTTCCTTAGTATTTTTTTTTGGCATATATAGCATATTTTACATCTTTTAATATTCATGTTTTCCTATTAATCAATTTAAAATTATTTACAACTTACAGAACCAATTAATTTGGCTTTTTAAAATGAAGATGCCACTAAACACATCCTCAAGCAACTGACAGCTCAGAAACAACAGTGCGGGCAAAGCTACCAGAAATATAAAAATAGCAAACCAGGAGATATTTACTGAGCAAGAGTCTAAGAAGCAGCAACACTTTCTGTAAATGGGTCTCACAATTCAAAGAGCAATTTTATATCTGTAAAGTACAGAAATGACAGTGAGACTTCCAGATAAGTTAGAATTTTGTTTCGAGTTTCTGTGCTTTAAAAATATAGATATTATTGGTAAATTATAAAATGGGAAAATTAAAAAGGCATAACCAGTTCAAAACCAGATACTCATCTCTGTGGATCAGAGATTACATGGAAACATAATGTGGTAGAAAGAAATAAAGTTGTAGGCTTGCTGGGCTCCAGTCTGAAAACAGGCAAAACAGATCACAGGTTCATAGCAGAAGGAGCCAAAGCCAGATTCGTTGATTAAAACCGGAAGCTAGGACAGGGCATCTCTTGAACATGAAAGGAGGGTGAAGAAGTTTTAGCCTGCTGCTAACGAGAGAAAATGTTCATATAAAACTCTACACCTAGGGCATCAAGTGGAATCATCTACAGCTTTGCCCCTTAATCTTTGCCAAACTGCTGTTGGGCTCAGTGACTGGATCTTCAACACAATGAGAAGCATAGAGCTATAAATATAAGGTCTAGTTCTGACCAAAAATGCCTAGCAGGTGAGAGAGAATAACCACAGAACTACTGGATAGAAAAAAAAGTAAGCATAAAACAAACAAAACAAAAAGCTCTGTAAGTTCCCATATAAAATGGGAATGCACAAAACAAAATTCCAAAATACTTAGGAAAAAAAGGCAAGATAAGTACAAAATCAGTAAGTAGGAGATGGATTTACATTTGACAAAAGAAAATAATGAGGCAACCTGAAAATGACATTTAAGGGGAAAGATTTATACGATCTGAAGAGAAACCAGAGTATAAAAAAATGACTTTTAAAATGTATGTTTAGAATCCTGAAAGACCCAAAGGAGGAAACACACACACACACACACACACACACACACACAGGCATGCAAAGAAACTATAAAATAAAAACACAAGGCTGGGCATTGTGGCTCATGCCTGTAATTCTAGCACTGTGGGAGGCCGAGGGCTGAGGATTGCTTGAGGCCAGGAGTTCAAGATCAGCCTGAACAACAGAGCGAGACCTTGTCTCTATAAAATTTTTTTTAAAAATTAGCTGGGTATGGTGGTGCATGCCTGTTATCCCAGCTACTCAGGAGGCTGAGGAAGGAGGATTGTTTGAGCCCAGGTGTTTGACATTGCAGTGAGCCATGATGATGCTGTAGCCCAAGCAACAGAGCAAGATCCTGTCTCAAAAAAAAAAAAAGAAAAGAAAAGAAAAAAGAAAAAGGAAAAAAATTAGAAATCCTGGAAATTTAAAATATTATCATTGAAATTTAAGAAATTTTTAAAATGGTATAAATTCCAGAATACATGAAAAGAGAGAGAATGAATGAACTGGAAAATAATAATTGAAGAATTAATCCTTAATGTAGCATAAAGAACTAATGAGGAAAAAAATCTGAAAAAGTAGTTAAAATACATACAGGATAGGTTGTGAGGATTCGGTATACACTTAACAGGAATTCTAAAAGAAAAAACTAAAGAGAATGGAAGCAAAGCAATATTGAAGCAATGTGGGAGAATTCTGCAGAAATGAAGAAGTTTCAGAAGGGACAATAAAACAAAATAAAATAAAAATTTAAAGAAACCAAAACAAATGAAAAACAAAACAAATGAGAAAAGTAGGCACAGACTAGCAATAATAGTATGCCATGAACTAAGTGGTATGATTGACCCAACTCTTTACACCTGAGGATTTTTTTTTTAATTTAAAATGAAACACACAAAACAACCAGGTCATGTACAGGAATGATAAATAGCAAATTCAGGACACTGGCTTACCTCTGAAGAGGACAGGAGAGAAATGGGATTGAGGAGGAGTATACAAGCAATGTAATTTTTATATTCATTTCTTTTAAAAAAAAACTGAAGTAAATATAGCAAAGTATTAAAACTTGATAAAATTGAGTGGTATATACATGAATGTTCATTATGTTTTTCCTTATTTTTTCTCTGAATATTTGAAATATTATATAAAAATCAAGTGTACATAAAAGAACAAAAGCAAAATATTTAAAGGAAAAGTGAAGATGTGGAGGATAGCATAACCCTACCAGAAAGACCACAGGACCCTACCAGAAATGAAAGAAAATGAAAGGGAAAGTAGCAAGAGAAAAATACATGATCAAAAATGCAGTTTAAGGAGAACTTGGTGTGGTGCCACCATTTCTTCTGCCTTCGGTCTCTACACCTCTCGCTGAGCTTCCAACAGTGCCATGTTGGGACAGAGCATCTAGAGGTTCACAACCTCTGGGGTCTGTAGGAGCCGCTAAAAGGAGGGCCCAAGGAAGAATGTGCCATTTTCAGTAGAAAACAAGTGGTGGTTACTAATTATGATAATTTTGTACTTTGGATCTGAATTTGCTACACATTTCTTTATAGTATGACACCAAATGCTTAAGAAATAAGAATGTTTTAATTTATCCATGAAATAGATATGAAGAGTGTTTTAAGAGGTGCAGCAGACTCTGAAAAATGGATCAAACTCTTGAACTCATATAGGATACTAGATATGTCTTTAATAAACGTATGACATAAAAAATGTGGCTTATTATTTTTTAAATTATAGATAGAAGAATCCTTAATATGTCCATAGACTGTGTGAAAGAATGAACAGACAAAGAATGACTAAAAAACAGAATAAGCGATGAAACAGATTTTTGGGGAGACATGTACAATGATTATTCTTTTTTTTTTTGAGACAGAGTCTCACTGTGTTGCCCGGGCTAGAATGCCATGGCGTCATCCTAGCTCACAGCAACCTCAAACTCCTGGGCTCAAGCGATCCTCCTGCCTCAGCCTCCCAGAGAGCTAGGATTACAGGCGTGAGCCACCGCGCCCGGCCACAATCATTATTCTTGAATAAGGAAAAGACAGCTCTTCCTCTGAGACTTCAGTGAAAGAAATAAGAATTATTTCAGACATAGATTAGATAGGTTTTATAGCTACAGGGGTTAGAAATTAAGTAAATCACACTGATAGCTTTAATTTTTTCTGTAAAGCATGAGACATGGTCATCTGCTAAGCAGAAGGAAGGAGTAGAAAATGGAAGTAGGTTCAAAAATAAATGTTGATTTGGCTCATTTTTAGCTCTACTTTGTAAAATGGAAAGTATGACTTGTAAATGAAACTGCTAGCACCAGATAAAGTTAAGCCTCCTTTGAATTCACTCAGGGCAAAAGAATAAATAAATGTATCCTTATAGAAAAGCTAGGACATTTGATGATGAACTTATGATACATAACTTTTGTTCAAATTCATCTTGAAAAGAAATGGATTTGGGGAGTAAGGAAACATATTTAATAACTGCATCTAAACAGATGAAACCAGAATGAAGATCCAAATTTCCCAAAGGAACTTCTGCAACACACACAAAACACAAACAACATAAAAATAAATTATCTTGTTGCATTATTAGCTATAGTTTAGCAACTTAAGGCAACTCCCTGAATTTTAACCTTAACGTGCAAAATGTCTAAGAAATTCATTCTTTTGATTGTTCATCACTCATGTCTGAACTCAAATGCCTAATATCATAGTATTATTAAAGCAGAATTAAAACTTTTCTTAGGAAAAACTACATAATAGCAGGTTGTGTTAATTACATAAACTCTTGACAGTCATTTGAAGTTTGTGTCCTCCTCAAAGTTACTTGGTTATATGTTTCCAAAGAGATTTTATTCTCCCTTTACAACTTGACACCATAAATCAGAAATACCAGAAAGACTCAACTTACATGATAACATATAAGGAAGATCCAAAAGACAAAATCACCTTAGGCAGTTGAATTGAAAGAAGAAAGAATATGCTAATCTTGGTTATGATTCCAGACCCTTTTACCTACTCCATTTAACTTCACATTGCAAGAGTACTTTTGGCTTAGAGCATAATGGAAAATAACAAAGAGGTGAATAACTTGGAAGTGGATCTGAAATATGTGAAAAAAAGATTGAACTTCATTATTCTACTTTGGGATATAGTTCTGATTTACTTATAAGATTGTATTCCATACTTTTCTGTCTCTGAATCCAGAACGTTTCTTCTTTTTCTCTTCTGGAGGAGGCTCAAGATCTGCAGCCTTTTTTTCCTGGTTATAAACTTCCCCTTCATCTTTATTCTTCCCTTTATCGCCAATTTCAGTCTTTAGATTGTTTACACATGGTGGAGATTCTGCTTGGGCCCTGGATAAGTAAAAAAAAGAAATCTGGATTAATCATGAAAGTTCATCTTATATTAATCAAATAAGCAAACAGATACAGCTTAGCAGGAAAAACAGCAATGAAATTTGTCAAAAATTCTACATGAAGAAGTTCCTCAAAAAATTAAAAAAAGAACTACTATATGATCTATCAACGCCATCTCTGGGTACTTATCCAAAAGAACAGAAAACAGGGTCTCAAAGAGATATTTGCACAGCCATGTTCATGGCAGCATTGGTCACAATAGCTAAAACATGGAAGCAACCCCAATGTCTACTGGCAGATGACTGGATAAACAAAATGTAGTATATGCAATATAATGGAATATTATTCAGCCTTTAAAAGGAAGGAAATCCTGTCACATGCTACATGGTTGAACCTTGAGGACATTATGCTAAGTGAAAAAAAGCCAGTCCCAAAACACAAATATTGTATGATTCCACTTATATGAGTTACCTAGAGTAGTTAAATTCATAGAAAGAGAAGGTAGAATGGTGGCTACCAGGGGTAGAGGGAAGGGGAAACAAGGAAGTTGCTCTTGAATGGGTACAGAGTTTCAGTTTTGCAAGACGAAAAAGTTCTGGAGATCTGTTTCGCAATGATGTGAATATACTTAACACTACTGAACTGTATACTTAAAAATGGTTAAGATGGTAAATTTTATGTTACGTGTCTTTTACCACAATAAAAAAGTACATAAAGAAGAAATAGGAGTCTAAAACAATAAAAAACAAATATTCAAATAAAAACATACATGTAAAAAAAAAAATTCTACACAAAGACATGTCTGCTAGGCTTTCCAGGTTCATTCAATTATCAACAGCAAGCAAAACCCAAATGTTCCACAGAAGCCCCTCTTGCTGATTAGAGATTAAAACTGCCAGTCTATTCTATGAAGATTTTCACAACATCCTTAGCCAAGGTAATGTGTCTATTCCTTCAAATTCCTACACCATTTAGTGTTTAAAGTACAACATATAATTTAGTGTTCTGTGTGGTTAAGCGTGTTTTCTTACATTCTACTCGCTCTTCAACTAGTAGGTGGAATCAAATGACATTGTTGTTTTTATAAATCAAAAACTGTCAAATATTAGCAATAATATGGTTCAACCTAACACATAAGGTCATTAACAAGAAACTAGACACTGTGTTGTTTTTCTTTTAAGTCTCCAAGTGCCTAACCCAGTGCTTTACCCAAAGAAAGTATATGCTGTATCTGTGACTGATTAAGGAACACCAATAGAAGTCCTCAGCTAAGGAAACAAGAAAGGGAGTTGGAAAAAATAATATTGGGATTAAGGTACTGCAATATGAGAAAATTCTTAATGTATTCATTTTACATAGCTATCTGGAGATTTATCAAGTTATTTTATTTACCTGCAAATATTTTCTAAACACTAACAATGACAAAAAATTATTTGAATTTGTAAGCAAAAACAATCATTGATTTTTTTAAAACACTCAAGTCTAAAAAGAAACAAATTTTTAAGAAGCAACAAGAAACTACCACATTGACTTAAGCTTCTTTCAAACATGATTCAAAAGCAACCTGTTGACCTTAGTTCGAATTTCTTTTCAACTTTCACCAAGTGATGTACTAGATCACATCACACTGCTTTATTTTCCTCTGAAGAGCCTCCTGTAACTAAAAGATGATGGGCTGCTAAAGCGGAGACCCAAGCTATTTATCCACAGAGGCATAGAGACAGCATTTGTTCAATCCATCCTTCAGGTGCTATAACAGCTACACTAGTTGCTAAGGTTTAAATATGAAGATGGTCCCTGTCCTTAAGAAGTTCACAATTAGTAGGAAAAACAGACTAGTAAACCAAAAGGAATAGGTAAGAAAAAACTTGCTGGAAAGGGTGATTCATGAGCTGCCTTCTAAAAAACCTAAAGTGTTATTAAAGGAAAAGTTTATCTATTTAAAAACCATCTGGTATAATAGAAACTCCTAAGCACATTGCCTTTAATCAGTTCGATTAGTTAACCAGCATTCATAATCTCTTCTTAAAAACCTGCAGGCTAACGTCAACGACATGCTGAATGTTCACGTGCAGTAGACTAGTTGCTCTCTATTACATCCACGCAACTCTTCCCACCTTAGAAGATGCATGCTTACAAGAGGCAATTTGCTTTTTCCCAAAATTATTTCTGATAGTTGAAGCCATTACTGTAATTAATAAAATAATTAAATATTATAGCGCTGATGAAATACAATGACGTAAAAAAAGACTTTTGCTTCCAGCCACAAGTGAGTAACTGTACTGGATTTGATTTCCCACAGGGGAAAAATATAAAAAATTGAACACAATATATCAAACAATCATTTTCAGACACTGCACAATAGAAAGCAACTCTCTAAGAAAAGTGTAGCCTATAATTGCCTAGAATTTCTGTCTGGAGACATACTCCAGACCATGAACAGGATCCCAAGCAAAACACAGTGGTTTTGCTAAATTGAGGTGACAGAGATCTAAGTTTGGAGAAGCGGAGGTATCTGGAATTGGTGAGACAGATGGCTTAAGAGGAAGAAGTCACAAAGAGAAAGAGCTCCAAGAATCTACATGGAGTGAGTGTCCTTGAGTACTGAGTTAACACTAAGCAGTGCATTCTCAGGATGAAACTATTTAAGACAATTACCAAGGAGCTGCAGGCCAAGTAATTTCCAGAGTTCACAAGCAGGAAATGTTCAAGTTCTGACAAGTCAGAGTAGAGCAATCTCACTGAACACCCACAGCATTTAGTAACACCCCAGAAGGGTCATGCTGTATTACTAGGGCTAAACTGGCCTTAGAGCAAAGGGTACTCTAGACTATGCTTAAAAAAAAAAAAATGAATAAATAAATAATAAATAAATAAAAAGCTTTTAAACAAGCTTTAGAAGATTAAGCAGGTACTCCAGTAAATTAACTGCCTGCCAAAAGAAAAATCAACATTTGTAAAGAAAAATGAAAAAATCCAAACATTCAACAATATGACATTCATAATTTTAAAAGTCCAATATAAAAATTATTAGACATCAGCAAGATGATTCTAGCCCTTGTTCTCCCACAGAAACAACAGATTTAACAGAGCAAGGACCAAAATACCTTTATAAGACCTCCAGAATCCAGTTAAGAAGTTGCAGTACTCCAAGTGAGCACATAGCTGAGAACTGCCATATTGAAAAGAGTAAGAAAAGCAATTTCACTGTAGCCACATTAACACCCCCTCCACATGGGCACAGCTCAGTACTTAGGGAGAAGACCCCAACTAGGGGCTTCTCAGGGGAGGGGTTGGGTGGAAGGTGTCACTGGATAGGCTTAGCAGACAAGATACTGCAGAAAAAAAGATGAGTGGCCTCGAAGACACAGCTACAAACACTATCAAAACTGAATACAGGCCCCCATAATATGCTGAAATAAAAAATAAAAAATAAAAAAAAACTGAATACAGGGAGAAAAAGGCTGAAAAAAACATAAGCAGAACCTTGGTGACATGTGGAACAATATCAGATGGTCTAGCACATGAGTGAATAAAGTTCAAGGATGTTTGGAGGACTAAAGGACAGAAAATTTTAATGAAGAAACATTGGGCAAAAATTGTTCAAATTTCATGAAAATGGTAACAGCTCTAAGAAAATCAATAAACCCCAAACAGTATAAACACAAAGTAAACTGTACCAAAATACATAATCAAATTCTTGAAAACCAGTGATAAAGAAAAGCCAAATTTTCATACAGAAAAACAAAGATAAGAATTACTATAGACTTTTCATAAGAAAGCTGATGGTATGATCCAGCAATTCCACTTCTGGTTATATATCCCCAAAAAATGAGAGCAAGGACTCAAAGAGTTATTTGTGCATCAATATTCATAGCAGTGTTATTAACAATAGCCAAAAGGGGGCACAGCAGGGACACAACCCTACTGTTTGTCACCAGATGAATGGATAAACAAGATGTGGCATAAGCATACAATGAAATATGATTCAGCCTTAAAAATGAATGAAATTCTGATACATACTGTAACATGGATGAATCTTAAAAACATTACACTAAGTTAAATAACCTAGACCAAAAAGGACAATTCTGTATAATTCCATTTATATAGGTGCCTAGAATAGTTAAATTCATAGAAATAGAAAGCAGAATACCAGGAGATGGAGGGAGAGGGGACTGAGTTTAACGGTTACAGAGTTTAAGTTTGAAATGATGAAAAAGTTCTGGAGAGGGATGGTACTGATGGTTGTACCAAATGTGTAATGCCATTGAACTTAAACGTGATTAAAATGCTAAGTTTATGTTATATATATTTTAACACAATTTTTAAAAGAATACTTTTTTTAAAAGAATATAAGGAGGGTACCACACTGAAAAAAAAAGCTGAAGACAATTGAATGGTGCCCTTAAAGTACTAAAAAAAAAAAAAAAATTCAACCTAGAATTCTATATCCAGTGAAAATATCCTTCAAAAGTGATGGCAAAATAAAGATATTTTCAGACAAAAACTAATAGAATCCATCACCAGCATACAGACACTCCTAGAAATATTAAAGGAAGTACCTTTGGCTGAAGAAGAATGATACTAGATAGAAACCTGGACCAATACAAAGGAATGAAGAGTACCAGAAATGGTAAACATTCTGTGAGTAAATGTAACAAACTTTTTTCTCTTTTTAGAATTTCTTTAAAATACAACAGACTGTTTAAACAAAAGTTGCAACAATAATAACATATTATGAGGTTTAGCAGCAGTACTCAACCTTTTTAGCACCAGGGACAGGTTTCATGGAAAACAATTTTTCCACAGATGCTGGGTGGGGAGGGTCGGGGGGTGGAGCGGAGCTCAGGCAGTGATGTGAGCATGGGGAGCTGCTGTAAATACAAACACTGGCCTGCTGCTCACCTCCGGCTGTGTGGCCGCCACCCCCACTCCCTAAATTTCACGGAAGACAATTTTTCCACGGATGGGGATCGGGGGAGCAGCAACAGAGCTCT